CCCCCGCCCCTCCCGCCGCGCATGCGCAGACACCGCTGTCCCTTACCACACACCAAGAACTTCAGAATCCTGTTTTTGCAGTTGATCCGTGTGAATGGAAAGTTCCCCTTCTTGGGAAGATAACATCCTTTTTTTTTTTTTCTTCTTCTTCTCTTTAGAAACATGATCCAGAACAGGACTGGTGCATATAAATAAAGAGTCCTTTTCCCTGCTTCCCTCGGTCTCGTTTTGCCATCTAGAATGCAGAGATGTTTTAGGTGACATTCTGAAAATTGACATTATCCCAAAGGGTGAAATTTCCCTCCCACGCAGAGGGGAGCTTTGGGGCTGTGCACAGCTCGTCAGGGCAGTGCCTGATGCAGTGAATTCCCTCACAGCGATGGGTACAACGTGCGCGATGGGATGGTCGTGTTCCCATGGTCATGTTCCCAAGAGAATCACACTGCTTCCCAGAAAATGAAATTATCTGAAACTTTCCCTCTCTGGCTGGTTTTGCTTTCCCAAAAACTAACCAATATTCTTGTAATAGCCTTTCTGGTTGAACAAGGCCATCTACTACACAAAAATAAAGCTGTATTTACTATGAAAAATAAGAGACTGGTCTAATTCATTATAATCATAACATCCTCTCATAAGTGTTCACAGTGCTTGAATAAATTCCCATTTCTTGCTAAAAAGCAGCATGAGTAAATGTGCAAGACAAAAAGAGCCCAATGGGCTCAGATAAAAGGCACAGACAGGACAGTTAGTGCCCGTCCCCGGCTTGCGCCGTCGTGTTTACCCAAGGGCAGGAAATCCCAGTAAATCACCAGCAGCATCTGTACCTTGTTTTGGTTAAAGTGAGATCATAGCTCCCAGATTAGAGCGGTCAGAGTGTGCATTGCTTCCTTCCATGGAAAGGAAAGCAAAAATGACTTGCTCTCTTGTGAGATATGAATCCAGTTAGAGGTGAAACGCAGAATTTTCCAGAGAGCCTAACCTAAACATCTGCTTCTTGTTGTTTTCTAGAAAAAAATGGATCTATAGTGAACTTCCCTTCCTTTCCACCAGTGTCAGTTCAAATCTAGCATGTTGAGATTAAATTTAAAAATCTTCAAATCGCTGTTTCTGATGCAGTCTGGCACAGCACATCTCATTCTACAATCGCCCAACCTTCAGTAACCACCATGTCCCTTACACACATCACATTATTTCATTTTCATTTTCAGAGCCAATTCTTTCCTCATCTGCAAACTAGGCAGCCAAAGAATTATACGCTTATGTCTCAGATACTTGTTCTTGTAGTATTATTTTTAAAGGAGCACTAGATGGTGCTCCTCTGCTGTTTCGCATTCTCCACTTACCTTAAAAAAAGATACAAGTTTTGAATAAAGCTTATTTGTGATTCACTAGGAAAGATCTGATTTAACTTCAGCTAACTATCTCAGTGAAATCTGGTGTGTGTACAATATCATTAAATACATTGATTTTACTCTTCCTTGTGCCGCATCTTGTCAAGAGCCCTTCACTTTGGAAAAGCAACAGTTGCACAATTCAGTGAAAGGCAGCATTGATTTGTAGCGACACATCTGTGATGGGACTTGTAAAAGCAAGTTGAAGTCTGGCAAGTTAAAGCCATGTAGAGAAGGCCGATTCAAATTAAAGCCCTCATGAATAGAAAAGCTGGAAAAACTCAACAGAAGCAATTAACTGGGCAATCAGTATGGATATAATAGCTAATTTGTTAGCATTCATATAGATCCAGAGTAGCTAGAGGGCTGCTACAGAGCTTGATGGAAATGCCAGAGGGTAAGCAGATGAATTTAGAGTACTTTGCAGAGGGGAAAACATGAATGGGCAATAGATACAAACACGGACAGTGAGGCTTCCTTATTCCAGCTATTTACAGCAGAACTTGTTTCCATGTGCAATTTAGTAATACATGGTGATATTTTCATAAGTTCTACCATCCATCAGTGTTTTAAGATACCGTATCTCATTATTGTTCCGGATTTGCATTTTTTCCTATTAGAGTTGACAAGCCCGTTTTCCCAGATGCACTGGCTGATGTGAAGATTTGCATGACCTGCCTCACTGCCTTAGATGACTCAGAACACTCTTCAGCTGCCTCAGAGCTTTTTAACCAGAAAACCTCCTCTCCAAGTGGGCCTAAATAGCCACTGGAATCGACACGACAGATTTCATGTTTGAGAATGCCTTATAGACTCTTCATGAGGGACAGGGAAATACTTCCTCCATCTTACACACAAGAAAACTGGTATATGAAGAGTGACTGACACACCGTAACTTCTCACTCATCAACAGGAGCCACGAAACTGCATTTCTGCAGCATCTTCTGAACTTAAGCTCTTATGTAGAAGAAATATCGCTGTGAATCACATCCCTCCTTCCATTTATACCCTAACAGAACCCTTTCCAAAAAGGGAACAATTCACAGCTGAGGCTTAATTCTGGTGAGAGACAAGTTCTGGTGTGTCTCACTCAGCAGCTTATTCCTGTGCACTTCCATAGGAACTGCAGCTACTTACAACCCTGGTAATCAAGCCCTTCATTTGTGTCTGCCTAAAAATTAGCCTCAAGATTAGCACTTGTCTACACCTTTCACTTAAGCCTTGAGGACATTCACACACATACACTGTGTGTATGCCAAGAATACCCACTGCTGTAGGTCTCACCTAGATACTCTCTTCTCTTATTTCATACTATTTTACCATCGTTTTGAATGGCCATCTCATAGAAGGCTCAGATTCACCTCCATCATCTTTAGATATCTGGGTTGTAAAGCTGTAGCTGTATGTTCAGTTTAATGCAAACATGGAATGCATGTCGCAAGTGAAAAGTCAGCTCTTTCCAACTTCCATCTAGCATCAATGGCAAAACAACAAGTACTGCTGCACAGCAAATCATTTCAGGGGTTAAATTTAGTGGGGTGAATGGTCTAATGTGCTTTGGAGAGGAACTTCTCTTTTGATGTGTACTGTGAAGTGCTTGACATACTTATATGTATATATAAATATCTAAGATGTAATATATATATATGTATAAAAAGGTACTTACAAGAGTCATGCTGGCTCTTTCTGAAAGAGTTGTCTTCAAATCCTTTTAATTCTTAGCTTCGTCACAGGTCCATTCACCCCCTTTCAAAAAAAAAAAAGGAAATATTCTAGTAAAAAACTTATCAAAGTGAATGGGACTGAAGGAAATTAATGATGGTGAACTGAAAGACGCTCAAGCGTGTTTTAATAAGAAACTGCAATTAAACTGCTTGTCTAAAATAGAGCCAAATTTGGCGAGACTTTTCGGACTGGAAGTCAGGCTACGTAAGTCCCAAGAAGATGAATTTGCAGGAAATCCACACTGTTATGTTTTTGCTCAGGACAAACATTAGCAAAACAGCTTTTCCCGTGGTATTCTGTTTTGGAATTTTGGCTTTGGAAGCACATGAAAAATGAAGCACTGGAAGCACATGACATATCTAGGAAATACATATGCAAGATCCAGTCACAACATTTAAGTCTGGATTGACAGATTGACCCAAATCCTTTCTAACAAAGATATCAAATAATGACATTAGCTAAAAATTAGGGAATTGGTTTCAATGAGCAAATTATCGATTCGGTCTATGTGTTTGTAATAAACTTTTGTTTCAGCCCTATTACATTAGTATCAGCAGAATTTTTGCACGTGTCTAGAAGAGATTTGTATCCTCAAGAGATAGACTACAGATGACTGAGAAGGGAAAAATGTTACTTTTTCAGGAAAGAGCTGATTTTCATGGCACCTGTTCAGGATTGCTCCAAGAACAGTTCAATACATTGGAGACAAATGCCCTCCATTCTCCCCGACTCATATCCAAGCTGCATCTTGCTGTGTTACTTTTTAGTTCAGCTGGAATCTTCTGAATGATTGATAAGATTTAAGGGTTCGTCAGAAGGCTCCCCAGGCAAAACAGTGCTGTGCACTGCCATGACTTATCTCCTGGACGTGGGATGTACAGGCAGAAGCAGCTCTCCCAAGTCTCCTTTGATGAATTTTCACTTAGAATCTACTCTTCCTGAGAAGTGAAAGAATATGAGGAAGTACACGACATTCCATATTTAATAAAGATATTAAAGATTATTAAAGAACTTAGTCTCTTGATATTCCTGCCCTCAGAGCTTCTCATTGGAAAAGAATATCTAATGCAAAAAAAAAAAAAGAATATTTAATGTAATGTATTATGCAAATGTAGCAGTAGGAAGATAGAGGGCTGATGAACAGTGGAGCTGGCATGCACAGCAATGAGTTGGCAGGAGCCTTAGAGCTGTGAAGTACAGAAAAAGGTTAATACTGTTCAGCTTGAGCTCATTACCCACACTGTAGAACCCACCTTAGCAGCAATTTTGATGTAAGCAAAGGAAGACAAAGCACCATTGGATCACAGCCTGCACGCATTTCCATTAGAAGAGACTTGGCAAGTTCAAGCTGATGCTTTGTCCTTATCGCTTCCTGTTTTGTCCAGTTTAGTAACACTTAGAGTAAAAAGAATAGATCATATCCTGTGATCTTTACTGTGTTCAACCCTCTCTTACAGGAAAAGGTCGAAACTTCAGAGATACCATAAGTGATCTGCCAAGAAAGTATTTTTTTATCTCTTATTTCTTTACAAGGGTTAAGAGTGATTTCTGTTTGCCTGTTTACTTCATCTTTTTAG